ACGCAAAAAGGAGTTCTGCGCAAAAAAACTTTGATACACCCCGGTGTTGGACCGACCAGGGTTATTTTTTTGAAGCGCGGCCGAAGGCCGCCAACGCAAAAAGGAGTTCTGCGCAAAAAAACTTTGATACACCCCGGTGTTGGACCGACCAGGGTTATTTTTTTGAAGCGCGGCCGAAGGCCGCCAACGCAAAAAGAAGTTCTACAAGAAAAAAGTAATATTGTCATTAAGGGTATAACATAATACTTAACATCAATGCTTTGTAATAGTTTATTTCTCTAGGTTTTGGATTCCTATATTTGGGGTATTATCTGTTTTAATTTCTTTCAGTTCAATTACAAAAGATGTCGATAAGGTAACACTGGTTATTTGAAATTTTGCAACCCTTTTGTTATTGTCAGAATTAATAGAATTTAACAATAATTCAATTATTGAATTAAACTATTTTTGCACTATATAATGTAAAATAAATGTGTACAAACGAATTTGTGAAGTGTTAGTGGATATAAAAGTGGAAAATATAAGTGTATAACTCATTCGAAATGGGAAAAATGCGTACTTTAAATAGTCGAAATTTTGAACTTTAAACCCAATTATCTTGAAAACTATAAGTTTCCCGCGGCTATATCTATATATATTCTTGATCTGGAGGATCTCCTATAGCCGCCCATACCCATTTTATCCCCGAAAGCGTGGGACGTTATACTAAAGTTTTCCCTTTGTTTGTATGTAGTAATACTGTATACGTAAGAATATGTAAGTATATACATATACAATTTTCATAAAAGTTAAATGAATGTAATGGTATAATTATTATCATACATAATCAGTAAAGCCAGCATTTCGTGGCCAGCATGGTGGTATAAGACGCATGCCTGAAAAGTGGTCAAGATCAGTTGAATCTCAAAGGAAGGAAACGAAAAGCTCTCGGTCATCGAAACCTGTGTCTACGGGATTACTAAGCAATAAGCCAGAAAAAAATAGTGTACCGGAAAATGATACCTTGGAGGACATCAATCTTGATGGCAGCATGTCCAAATCAATTGAAGAGGCGCTCTTCTACCAACCCATTTGCAAATTGGCTACAAATCCAAACGGTGCGAACAACAATCTCCATACCACAGAATCAGATGAATCTTCAATATTAAAACTTCCAACCGGAGATAATAATGTATCCTCCACATCTACAAATGAGGCAGACAACTCCTCAATACTTCCAACATCACAAGAGTCAAAAGTCTCTACACCCAATGTGGACCTACTGAACACCGATTCTCCCTTTAAAGGAATGTCTCTGAGAGAATTTGAAACTCAGCGCAAATTGATCGAGGAGCAAAATAAACAGAAGAAGGAGCTTTTGCATAAAGCTATAGAATTACAGTAAATATAGTATTGTAAAAGATATGAAACAAGTTTCAAATTATATAGATCTTTTGCTTTACAGCTCACAAAAAACGGCTGCGGAGACACGGAAAATTGCTGAAATCAAAGAGGAACTTGCCAAATTAGACAATGACCTAGCGCTTGATGTATCAATATTACGAAAGCAAATTGATAATGCCTGTATATATTTTTCGCAAGTCGAGTATGTATAAATTTTTATATATTTAATTACAATACAAAAGTGTATATTTATAGGAAACAGTATATCAAAATAGAGGCTCAATTCTTAAAAGCAAAAATAGATTTACATAATGCGGCGGAGAAAAAGGAGTTGCTAACCGAGCATTTATGTACGGTAATTGCTCATAATGAAGATCGCAAAGCGCAAAAGCTCTCAGAACTTATGCAAAAAGTTGGTTTAACAGAAACGGGGGACTTAGACGTAGGAACTAAATATGCAATGAATGGTGAAAATCAAGCAAGTCAAGAGAAGTAAAATTGTATAAAACATTGTAATATATTTCTAGCTTTTACTATTTCAGAACTACTTACTTATATATTTACAATAATTTTTTACTTGTATAAATATGTATAACTTATCCAATAACTCAAAAGTTGAAGTATCATACTTTGTATAAAACAAAATGTAGGCAATAATATATTATCCATAGTTAGACGTATTAACATTAAAAGTTGTTATGTATTTATTAAAGATGAAAACAATTTCAAAATAAATATAAATTTCTCTATGAAAATGGAATGAAATAAAGTTTTCTGTTTCAAATTCGTAATGCAAGTTTATAACAAGAAAAAACGTTAACTTCGGATGCACCGAAGCTATAATACCCTTCACAGATACAAAGGTTCCGTACAATAACTTGATTCAGTTCTAATTTCATGAATCGGCAATAAGAAATAAAATTTTTTTCCATGCAGGCACTTTACTCTGATCGTGCTGTTTATATGATAGCAGTATGACATAGCGATCCGATCTAAATAATTTTTTCGGAGATTAAATTCTTGCTTTATAAAATAACTCATGCCAAATTTCGTCAAGATACCTCGTCAAATGAAAATACAAAGACTTTACTCCGATCGTTCAGTTAATATGGCAGCTAGATGCTATAGTCATCCGATCTGTACAATTTCTTCGGAGCTTGCACTATTGCTTTAAATTATATTCTATGCCAAATTTCTCGAAGATACCTCGTCAAATGAAAGAGTTTTCCATATAAGCACTTGATTTCGATCGTTCAGTTTGTATGACAGCTATATGCTATAGTCATCCGATCTATACAATTTCTTCGGAGATTTCATTGTTGCTTTAAATAATAATCCATGCAAAATTTCGGTAAGATACCTCGTCAAATGAAAGAGTTTTCATTACAAGGACTTTACACCGATTGTTCAGTTAATATGGCAGCTATATGTTATATTCATCCGATCTGTTCAAGGTTTTCGGAGATTACGTTGTTGCCTCAAACAATAACTCATGCCTAATTTCGTGAAGATACTTCGTCAAATGACAGAGTTTTCCATACAAGCACTTGATTCCGATCGTTCAGTTTGTATGGCAGCGATAGGCTATAGTCATCCGATCAAAAAAATTTCTTCAGGAATTACATTGTTATTTTAGAAAATAACTCTTGCCAAATTTCGTGAAGATATTCCTTCAAATAAAAAAGTTTCCCATACAAGCACTTGCTTCCGATTGTTCAGTTTGTATGGCAGCTATATACTATAGTGGTCCGAGAGCGGCCGTTCCGACAAATGAGCAGCTTCTTAGTGAGAAAAGGACAGGTACAAAATTTCAGATCCATAGCTTAAAAACTGAGGGACTAGTTTGCATATATACAGACGGATGGACGGACGGACAGACGGACATGGCTAAATCAACTCAGCTCATCAGGCTGATCATTTATATATATATTTTATAAGGTCTCCGACGTTTCCTTCTGGGTGTTACAAACTTCGTGGCAAACTCAATATACCCTGCTCAGACGATAGTGAAATAAATGAAACAAAACTTAAAAGTAACTACCTATAATTGGCAACAACGTCAGAATGTTTTTATTCGCCATTCACATCGACAACCCTAATAGCAAGCAAAACAATGAAAACGTGAGGTTAGTTTCGATTACTTTATTTTGTGGTTTTAAAAGAGGTTTAGAAGTTAAAACATGAGAGTGATTTTAATGTAAGGTAAATTCAACATTGACATAACAGAAAAAATGGCAGGTCGAGGACGTGGTAAAACTGGCTCACTTACTCAAGAACAATTGCAGACTTTAGGTTGTATAGGCAAGGATATTCCACAAGTGCAGACGGCACCTCCGCCTACATTTCCTCCACTTATGTCTAAGCCGGTTAAACTTGAGGTAAATAAATAATTAGTCGCATTCAATAAAGCTTATGTTTGATTATATGTGTATTTTATTACAGACTACAGCGTCACAAAATTATCAAATACTTTGGAGGGAAGCATATCTTAATCATATGCGCGATTCCCCCTATTTCCTTGCCCCTAAAATTCCAAATGCAAATAGTACTTTACAAAGCTATTCTGACCAATGGGCGGTAAGATTATCACATCCTATTTGCATACATTATAGTTCTAATATATAACATTAAAATATTGCAGACCGCGGTTGAAAATGCTAAAACGAAAACTAAAGCAGATTTTATTTGGCAAATGATGCCAACTGAATTACACATTACACAGAAAAAACGTCGTGTTGTAGGAGGAGATAAAATTGTTTCCAAAAAGCCTAGAAATATTGATGATCGCCTAAAAGTTCTGGAGGAAAAAGAGCGCAATGAAGACGAAAAAGATATCACAAAAGCTTCATCAGATTCAGAACACGAAGAGGAGGAAGTGCGTTGTAAAGGCAAAAAACGAATAAAACCGAAATTAATTCTTATATATTTTATAGGAACCACCCGCAGACGAAGAGATGGATGATGAAAACGATTATGGTAACAGTTATTTCGACAATGGTGAATCATATAATGAAGAAGATGACAATCTTGATGATGGTCCTGTTTATTAAAGTAAAAGTACTTTTTTTTTTTAAATTTCACATTGATTTTTATTTTTTTCTCAACATAATGATTTTCACTTAAGCAACTCCTCGTCGGTTACTTTAGACTTATTTTAATGCACACCTATAATAACCCACATACTATATGGAATTAAGGATATCCAATTGTCTAGTCAAGCGACTCTGGTGCTTTGCTATTGAACTCGATAACTCCTGATGTCTTCACCTGATATAAAAAAGATAAGTTTATGCTTCCCAAATATATTGTGTCTACTTACGAAACCAATAGTGCCCGCTAAGAAAAGAAGTCCACCGAGTAACCACGCATTGTACTTGGTGTTCTGGCGTGAGTAGTGTTCCTGCCAATCACCAGCTGGCACGGGCAGATCATTCAATGTACTATGTTGATGGTGACCACCATGGTATGCTGCGCGCGACAGAGCTCCGGCTAAAATAATATATTGAAATAACTCATTTACTTCGCTAAGATTTGTTCAGGGAAATACTTTTCCACTGATGTAAAATTTGAGGAAAAGGTTATGTAATGACCACTAGGGTTATTAGAAATTGAATTTTTGTTAAAATATATATTACCGTTTTTAACCAAGAGGCCTTGTTTCAAAATGTGTTGCACCAACATATTTGTAGGCTGATTTATTCCTGTTGAAATATAAATATTATTATGTCTAAATACCAGAATTACTTATTATTTTCTAGTTCGCACTCACGTTATTTGTCACCTCGACGAAAAAACTGCAAGAAAAATGTATTGGAACATTTGACATTTATATCTTCGAAAATGATTTTTCGATGTCGACAGTTTATTCCGAAATCCGGCTCCACATTAAATGTTATGTATTTATTACAATTAAACATTTATTACTACTGAAGCTACTCTTTTCTCATAATTTATTTAAACCCACCATTTTCGATTAGTGTTATATTGTATAGAATTCTAACATAAGAAAATGTTAAATATTTGAATATCGAATGTATCATCGTAACTCAAAGAACTTTGCAACACTATTTCGTGGCTATCAGCTGGATTTAGCATTCGAAACTGTCATCAATTGGTATTTTGCAAGGAGGGCGTCGAGCGAATTGATTAAATCTTTTTCTTGTCTTTCCAATGATATTGCATAAATTTTAAAATTTGTGTAAAAAGTTGGAAGCCATTTATAGTATTTATAATGCTGACTACTTTGGCCAATATTAAACACATTCTCCAGAAAGAGCTCTTCAATGGAAATGGGGAGCGAGTGTTGTCTGTGGTAACGGTGACAAAAACATTTAAAAAGAAGAAGGCTTGTTATTTATGTATCGTAACCACTCCACCTCCTGTGCCTGTAGTTACTGTATGCATAGTGAAGCAGTCCGAGCAGAGAGAAGGCGAGTATAAAAAGAAACGTACCTGGCAGCTGGAGGAGATTAAATGGGTGGATGGCCGCAATGAGCAGTTGGAAACACATGAATTTGATATACAAGTTGAAAAAACATATAAATGGTATGCCTTAAATTTGCACGAACGTCAAAATTTTCTTGCTGTGCTATACAAACAGATACAAAAGTATGTGAGAGCCCAACGAGCAGAATTTCGAAATGTGCCCAATGCGTGGCTAAACGACAAATCACCAGAAAAATTGGCTGCTGGGCGAAGTGCCGAACAAAAAAATATTCAAGATACAGATGACGAAGAAGAAGCGCAAGAGTTTACCGCACTTACAGATAAAGAAGCTACTGAGTTGGGAAAGTTGTTTTCTGAATGTGACTTTGCAGTGAAGGACGCGGAGCAACTTATTGAAAAATTGTCCAAGGAACTTCATGATTTAGACGGGGTATGTAAGAAGCATAATTTATCTATTTGCCCTGCGGATGTGATGTTGATCATTTTTCAGGCAAACATTCAAAGTGTATTGGCATCTGAAAAGCAAGTATTTGCTTTAATGGAGCACATTGATAAAGCCATCGCTGAAGCTGATAGTTTTGAGAAACGTTTGGACTCATATGAAGAGATTTTAGGACATGTAAAGGAGACCATGGAGAAGATTGGTGGTAAAAATGCTATGATAGAAATTGCTAACAACAACAACATAAAATTGATGAAGGAATTAAATAAAGTAATTGTAAGTTATTTGCTGTTAATATGGAACTAACGTTGTAAAAACCAAAGTTAATAAAATTATAACAGTCTCAGTTGGATCTGCCACATGTACATCAACAGGCGCTGGATGAACCCGATTTAAAAACTGTTAGTGGTAGAAAAGCTGCCATTGTTGCGGCACAGAGTTTACAACAGGCGATGAACAGTGACATTGACCCAACTCTGCTTCGTCTAGAAGCAGTGCAGGACCAACGTAAACGATTTGAAAAATGGAAAGCAAAGTTCTCGGGAATTGTTAGTCGCTTTATGAACAACTTGTTTATACATTTGGGAAATGAAATGGGCGATAATACGACAATGAATACTGAGCTTGTACTACCTAACCATCTAGCGGTACATCGTGAGCTAACGCCTTATACAGAGCTTATGCATTGGACGAAGGCTATGGACCGAAAAACTTATGATGGTTTAACCCGTGTGTATACCACATCGCTAAGTAAGATTTATGAACGTGATATCAGGAACTTTTTTTCCTTGGTATGTCAGTAATTCTATCTCCATTTTCCACTTTCGAATAATTAGTAAAGTTTCATGTAGGCTAAACTCCAGATATCCGAAAAATTGCGGACATCTCGTGAAGACCTTGATACATCAGCTTCATCGAAAAAATCCGCTATATCTGCAGCACCTTACGGTACATTAGGTGTGAATCGTGACCAGTGGGGGCCTGGAGTGGAGAACACAGATCGCGAACGCTTTGACTCAGTACTGGAAAAAGTGTTGGCGGAACTGGAGCCAGTCGCGCTACAAGAGCAGATGTTCTGTATAAACTTCTTCCAAATGGACGTAATTAGCCCAACATCGAAGAATACTCAAACCACATTGGAAGTTTTAGAAAAAAGCACTGACTCCGCGAGCATTCTAGCTTCACCCACAGCGGCAAGTGGAGGAGGCGATGCGAGTGGTAAGTTCACTGACTTATTCTAACTGTGAATTCATCCATAATGTTCTTGTAGGATTTCCACAGAAGAAAATAGATCGTCAAATAAACGAGGAGGTCCGCAAATTGATGATTGCTTTATTCGGCTGCTTAGAGCCAGAGCTGGTAAGCTTTATACAAAGCTATGAACGCATTGATAGTTTGTACGTATTTTACTAAATCCCGAAGTTTAATTGTTGAATTTTGCCTTCATGCGTGCCTTTATTTGTAGCTATTCACTTTACGTGCTCGTACGTTTAACGCAGCACGTCATGTCGGCCCAAGATACACATTCCTTCCTTAGTATGACCTTCGCCTCGGCGCTGGTTCAAGTTAAACGGAACTTTGACCGTTTTATGCAGCAACAACTTTTGTCGGTCAAAGAAGCTAAAGTGCCTAAGCGTTCCAAGTGTGGCATCTTGCCATACGTGGAGAACTTCGAGTATTTCGCACAAACTTCCGAGGGCATTTTCCGGAAATCGGATCGTCGCACTGATATGGAAAAGTGGTATTTACAGTTGGTGAATTCAATTTTTGAAAGCATCAGTATGCATGCACAAGAGCACCCGAAAACGCCGTCGCAAGTCGTGCGCATGGAAAACTACCACCACATGTACTCGTTACTGGCGCAGCTAAAGGTACCCGGTCTGGATGCAATGAAGAAGGAAGCTAAAATGCGCTATAATGATGCGCTGAAAGTTTATGTCATACAATATTTTGGGCGTCCGCTGGAAAAACTAAATGTAAATTTCTGAATTCTATCACTACAAGCACTGAATTATATATATTCGCACATATGCTTTTACTTTCAGCTCTTCTTTGAAGGTGTACAACAAAAGGTGGCTCAAGGTGTCAAAGAGACGGAGATCAGCTACCAAATGGCGTTCTCTAAGCAAGAATTGCGTAAAGTTATCAGCCAGTATCCAGCACGTGAGGTCAAAAAAGGTCTGGAGAATCTCTACAAAAAAGTCGAGAAACATCTCTGCGAGGAGGAGAATCTCCTGCAAGTAGTTTGGCATGCCATGCAAGAGGAGTTTATTGCGCAATACAATTTTTTGGAAGAACGCATACAGAAATGCTACGCGGGAGCGATGATTACTTTAGAATTCAACATACAAGATATATTGAATTTCTTCTCGGACATAGCGCGTTCGCATTGAATTTGCATAGAGGTAAATGCCTTGTTTGGAGATACCGAGTATTTCGTTACTTTTGTAAAACGAAAGCCACTTTCAAATATTTTTTTTAATTATTATGTATTATTATTATTACGAATGTAAAACTATTGCTTTTCAAAATATGTAGGTATGGAAATATTTAAGTTTACAAAGACGTGCAGAATATGTATTATTTCTAAGTGCAATGGAGCAAATACAAATAATATAAATATGAATATACCACTCTGATATAAATATTGTACATATATGGTTAAACGTGCATTGTGGTTGTTGTAGAAATATAAGATATTTGCATCATCCAATGAACTATCTTTGTTAGGCGAAAGCTGGTGGTGCGGATATATTTTTCTTCTTGCTATTATTTTAAAATAACTTGAATTAGAAATTATTTATGATCGTGAGTTTTTGTATCATCGTAAGTTTGAGAACCTCTGGTTGCGATCACATTTGAGACTCGCAAAACTTGCCCGTCTCTCTATTAAACACACATGTATGTATATACCCAGGTGCATATGTGTATATGAAATCATAGACGTCCACACTCAAAAGAGCGCCCAATGCCGTGGAGCAGCAGTAATGATAAAAAAGGTGCTTACTCACTCAGCCGCTGTGGCACTCATGTAGCAGCTCTGCCCGTGTACCCGCTTAACACGGCGAGGGTGATCTCGCTGTCTGACTGAGCGGCTGAGCGGCTGGAAGTGAGCTTCACCGGCGTGTTCTGCTTCAGTGCGATTCTGAGTGTTCAAACGTTAAGTCGAGTTGGTGAAGTGGGCGCGTGTGTATGTGTGTGTTTATTTACAAACAAAAAATTATTGCATTTAAGAGTTTAACGTTTGCATTTTCCACTGCTGCCAACAATTGCTGTCTTGCATAGGTATTGTTGTCACCAATGCCGTTTGATTTGCAGCAGCCTTTTTTGTTAGTGAGCGCATGCCTACATACATACATATACAAATATGTAGTTTTGAATATGAAATTTTGAAAAAAAAGCTACAGAAGCGAAGCGTCAAAATTGCGACGTGCCAACGCTTCGGTCCTGTGCATTTGGTAAAGTGAAGTCAGAATTTTTTTTTAGTAAGTGGAAAGGGTGAAGAGGAAAAATATTTATAAATAAGAATCAGTGAATCAGTAAAGTAATAAAACTCGCTAGGCAGCAATAATAATAAAAATAATAAATAAATTACAACAACAAATGCGAGTTCGAGTGAAATTGCTTTTGTGCGTTGAACGTGAATCTGCGGTTGATCGGATGTTGTTGGACTCGCGTAAACTCAGTGACTACATGACTGGAAGGTCTTTGCTAGTGCTATCCTGCTTGAGGCAACCAGAATCATTTCAGGCGAAAACAACGAACCAATAAAAGGTAAAAGGGAGGCGCCAAGGCGGCAAACATTGCTTTTATAGCAGGGTCAACCAAGTAACTGCGAATAATCCATGTATACGTTAATATACGTATATACACAACCTTAATGTATGTGAGTGTGCGATCTCGTAAAGTGCGGCGCGTCCGTACCAGCCCAGAAGTGATGGTAGAGGAAATCTCCCTAAAACATGTTCGACTCGTTTTACGTCTCATTTTGGATCTTTCAATGGACTCTCGTTTGGTCATGCGCACTTTTACTGCACTTGCAATAGGGTGCTCCTGAAATAGACGCCAAAAAACTATATACTCTCGTGCACTTATTATTGTAGTGAATACTAAGTTACAACTACTTCCTAATTAGATGATCTCCTGGAAGTAATCTGATAGGTGCAGAATGGGGAGTTTGAAATTAAATCAAAAATAGGAATTACAATATTTCCCAATATAGTTTTCCAGTTTTAAGAAATGTTTTGGTTTTGTTCGGATATTACGGCTGAAAGCTGACACTGTAGCGCAAGCCTAGTAAGGTTATCGTGAAAGCTTAAAAAAAACTGTACACCCGATTCACTAGTCATCTACCGTTATTTTTAAAATATGTGTATAACGGACCACATTTTTACATATATATATTTCCGCATTATTTTAGATTATAATATTCACATTTAAATTACTCAGGATTTATTTAATTTAATTGTTTTTACGAGTCGATCATAAAGCTATATATGGTTAGTGTAGTCGTTAACCGATAAAAATATTACTCGTATACCACGATTTCTTTTTCTTTTTTGAAAACGATATGTTTTGATCAATTTATTTTTTATTTTTGGACAAATTTTAAAATTTTTGCTTAAAGCTTTCTCAAGGGATACAATTTCAACTTTCAACTTCAGGAATAGGTTAGAACGAACGGTCCACTCTAATGCAACTATTAAACGTAATAGCTTTACAGACTGTGACTATCTACATATGTATATACATACATATGTAAATATATAACAGTCTCCATTTGTGATAGTATTAAAGATTCCCCAACCAATATTCTTAAAACGTGGGTACATTGAATTACCCAAGTAAGTGACCAATCCATGCCTTCTGCGTGTTTACCCGCACACATTGACATACATAATATTACATATATATATGTATGTATGTTCGTGCACAAAATTCGTGCATTATTAACTTTTCAGGAATCCCCTTCTCGCTTGCATTGATTGCCGAGGATAAGTGATTCGATGGTTGGCTGTACAGTTGTTGTTGTTACCATTTGCATTACCGTCTTCCTGATTACCAACTTGCCATGACATTTAAATTGTTTCGTGGAATAGCCATTGCTGCGAATTAATTCTTTCTTTTTTTATTAATTTCTCGCTCTTAGCACAGAAATGACTAAGGTTTTGTTCTTTAAAAAAATGGCTGCAGGCTGTCCTGCTTTAAACACATTGAATCGGAAAACTTTTCAACCCATCTTTAGGTACAGGGTTCTACTGTATCCTCTCCCACGCGATCAATTTTGACAAAATTATGTAATGGATAATTCGGCAATTAAATCCCGGATAGGGAATGTTCTTCTATGAAAGAACTTTAGAACATTTTCCTGTGTCATTTTTGCGTAATGTTTCTTAGTCCTGCTATTTAACCTTAGCTCTTTCTGCTTTGTTCTACATGTTCTTTGCTTAAAATCTTCCCAAGCTTTGCTAAACTTTTTGACCATATCCAACTATCCATGCAATCCATGGATCCACGGCCGCCCAATAAAACTGTAGACCTGCTTGTAAGCTCAAGGAAGTCAGCACTGGCGAAGTTTATTGACATGCGCGAATGCTCGACGTACGCAGTTATCCTCTTCTATGCCCACGTTAATGCATGTTTGACTATAATGTGCGTCAGCTGGTGCAGCTGCTTGCCCAAAAGCGGAATTCGCGAACTCAGTTCAACACTCGGCCGTATTCTTGCACCCAATTCGAGTACTTCCCATGTTTTATATTAAACAAGCTTCGCCGTCTGCCTTATGTTTATTGCACTCGCAAGCGGGTACGAGATGAATTCAAAAAATTTAACTTCTCTGGCTTTTGCACAGCTCGCAGCTGTGACTCAGTTAACTGCCAATTTTCCGTCTGTCTTTCCTTTCTTTGAGGTCTTCCCTTGTTGCTTTTGTTGCGGTCTTGTTTTTTCACTGGCGTCTCTACAACCGTTGTTGTTGGTTTTTGCATACAACCGTAAGCTCGAGGTTATATGAAAGCGGTTTAAACTTCAACTTCAACTTGGTTTGGCTGCCACCACCGCAAGTATTCCATTCGAAACTGGAATGATGAGTGACGAAATGAACTGGGCCGTGGGGGCAGTTGGGACGTCGAGCGGCGCATAAGAACCAAGGAGTAGGCAAAAGCAAAGCACGATCGGTTGTTAAAAAGGTCTAAGGTCTAATGCCTCGTTTGTTTGTTTCACTAAGTTGTCGTTATTATCGCTTTGTTGTTGTTGTTGTTGTTGTCGTCGTATTTTCTTCGTGCCTTTTGTTGTTGTTCATTAAACACAGTTGTTTTGCTATAAAACTGTATTTGTACTACAAACTTATTCAAATATGTGTGTGCGTGTCTGAACTTAGTCAAGTGTTAAAAAAAGTATATGGAGTGAGTACTCCGTACTAAGTAAACGCGATCCACATATGTACATACATACCCATGTGCAGAAGCAGTTAGGTAAAACGTTGTGGTGCCCCGTTAATGTAAAACACCACTGAAGTTAACACCTTTTGGTGGAAAGAGCTATAAACAAGCGACTGCTGGAGTTCTAATTAAACAGCGACGCACACACATATATACATTATGTTGGAAGCCAAGTAGGGAAATGTTGTGGTTCTGCACTGTTCCATAGTGTCATTTCCAGAAATGAGAATGATCGGTTTCTGTAAATTTGTCTCGGGGTACAAATGAAGAGCGTTCATTAAAGGTTGAAGAGTTGAACATTGATTCTCCCTAGCACTTTTATAAGATAGATAGCCATACCTCATACATACATATATGGTATATTTGGCCAGGAAACATCTATAAGTTTCCAGGCCCTTCCTGAGGTTCAATTATATTCTGCACGAGATTCTTCTGTGGCGACTAGTGTTTTACCAGAAATAACTAGTACCAAAGAGAACCTTAGCTAGGGGCACACACTGTTGGATGTAAATACATATATATGTATTTACTTAGAACATGTGCTGCTCTGTATTTACATACATACATTCATAAAATGTAATACGAGCTTAATATATTTTAAACACGTTCCGGGTTTATTTGAAGGGTTTCCTTCGGAAGTTCATTGAAACTTGCACTGTTAAGGGCTTCTGGCATTTCTAAAGCACAAACATTCTACAAGTGTCTTAACTATTGTACATTAAGAGTTATAATTACTTTAGTTAGTGTGGTTGGAATACAAATCATTGTTGAAAGTACCGAAGTCTAGTAAATTTTATTGAAAATTATGTCAGCAAAAAATATAAAACATATATAGTGCAGTTCCTGATAACAGCAGTCGAAGCTGGGCATTGCAGGATAAGATTGCACTATAACTGCACCGCGTCGTTTTCTAAAGTCAAGTAAAGTACTACATGTGTCTCATAAGCAGAGCTGCTATTAAATACTCGTTAACCTAAGACTATTTGGTGTTCTCTATCTTTCGACCTCGTCAACTTTCACGCCTTCGAATTCGTTTAAAAATTGCTGAATAGTAAGCCACGTGTTTTGGTACTGCAACAATAATCTATGAAATTGTTAAAAATTATGGGTATTCCTCACTATAGGAGTATATTCATAAATATTGCTTTGTCTCTTCAGATCTACTTTATAAAGTCATTAGCAGAAATGCATCGCTTCTTGAAGGCTATCAGAAAACTTGCTTCCTTAGGACCCTTAATTTTTCCAAAATTCCTGAAAGCTGAGTAAAGCCAATCTATTTTAATCAAAAATTCTACGTTCTTTTATTACTGGAAGTTTGGTTTGCTGATGCGTTCTAGAGTTTTGTGGCGGTCACTAACTGAAGCATTACAGTTGAAATATTGCATCGCCATTGAAATGCATTGCAAAATGTTTGAAAACTGAAAACCGCAGCATCGCCGCTATTAATAACACAACACCAGCTCACATACGCTCGCACAAACAAACTAAAGAAAATAAACGAAAATCTCGAATAAATTACAATTTATATTTTATCTTCCAATGGATTTGAAGCTTCACTCCGAAAAGGTATGTGGGAAAATGAAGTAATAACTGTGATCATAGGAATATCGCGCAACCACAACAAAACAAAAAGGCTAATAAAAGACAACGCCAATAGAGAGGGAGGGTAAAAAGCAAATTATAAGCGACACCTGAGAGCCGTAATGGCTCAGCAGCGAAAGCCAGCTAGGCATTTGAAGCGCATCTCCTCAATCTGAGCCTGCTATCTTCGCGATCACGAGCCCTCCCGTGCCAGCAATAATGGCAGTTTTCATGTTGTTGCTGTTGCTATGGTTTGAGTTTTTGTTTTTCATTTATTGTGTAATCCCACAAAAGGTTAGTCGCATACCAATGCAACAACAGTTCAGTGAGGAATGAAAAAGGAATTAAGAAAATGCATCAAATCTAAAGAAATTGGCTAATGAAATAGAATCTTGCAATGTCAGCGAGTCGAGCGTGCATAATAAAATCGAAACCACAGATGAAAGCAGCAATTTTTCTTCGAAATAGAAGATTAGCTGGAGGACCAGTTTGGGATACGTGAAGGCGCGCACGCGTCCGCTCTACAATTCCTTAAGTGATTTAAAAGCAGAAGAGAAAATGTGGAATTGGTGTACGATTCTTAAGAGTAATGGTTCCAGTGATAAATACTTCTAGGTGTATGTGTTTCAATGGCGGGACCAAAAACGGCAATTCTAAGCAACAAGAACGATTAAAGTTAAGTTGGAAAGTTTGTGGCACAATGAAAGCGTCTAAGAGATTTGTGAACGTGATCCAATTACACGTAAATTTCTACGT